GGACCATACGCAGATTTGGACGCCCGACATGGGTACGGAAAGAATGGGTACGATGCCCAACAGCAGTTCCTGCTCCGCCGTCCATTCGCTGTCCGCGCCGCCGCGGCCTGTGTCCATTCGAGACAGAAGGCCGTTGGCCCAACAGCGGCCGCTGTTGGTTTGGGGCAACATTTGCTGTTGGGCATTGTACCCATTGTGCTTCCGTCCCCATCTCGGGCGTCCAAAGCAGACGCGCCGCCCATCCCCCGCACGCCGCATACCCGCTCTCCCGTCCCGTCGGGCGGGCCCACGCGTCCCGCCGGGCGGAACTTCAAGGCGCCCGCGGATTGGCGAGGCGCGAACTTGGAGGCACGCCTGGGCCGGCGGCGCTCACGCCCAGAACTGTGCCAAACGTGCTCCTCGCTGGGTCGCCTGAGCCCTCGGCTGCTCCCGTGCTGGCAGCACCTCCGGCCTCCTCTCCGACGGGCTCCGCCGGGGGGCGTTGTGCGCGTGGCCGCGACGCCAAAGGTGTGCACCCCACCCCGCCAGACACCTCCTGGGGTGCAGGAAGGTGGCGACGCCGGAGCGCCTGGCAGCACCCAGGAAGGCAAAGTCTGCCTGGATCTGCGCACGTCACCAGCCCGACCGCACCCACGGGTCCTAGAGAGCGATCACGGCTGCACGCTTGGCAGCACTGATGGGCGAGATGCGCACTGGGATGTGCGTGTATCACCACTCCGCTGAATCCCCCCGGGGTCACACCGAAGGGACGACAATGGCACGCCTCGGGGGGCGCCCATGGAGGCGCGGCATCACCTGGGCCCGCTTGGCGTCGTGCCCCGCTGGGCACCTTAGTGGCGCAGCGACCTGGCCGGCCCCTGCACGTGCGGCAGCAGCCACAGCCATGGGGATGTCCTTCCCGTGGGGCACACGTGTGGGTGGTGACGGTCACACGCTCGGCGGCACCCGGGGCGACAGGGACTGTTCAGACCTGCGCGTGCCTCTCCACTTCGTCGGGACCCCCCCCAAAGGGCACCGGAAAGTTACGGTGCGCCGCCACTTCGGGGAGCCCCAAGGTGCGATGACATCAAGCGCACGCCCAAGTGGAGCCGAGGTGCTGGACTCTGCAGGGGCACAAGCGTGGCGACATATTCGCGCTCGGCAGCCAAGGGAGCTGTCTGGAAACATCCACGCGGAGGCCAAAAAGAAAAGGCAACTGAGAGGACAGACGGGGAATACATGATTGGAAGGAACAGGGGGGAGGCGCCAGGAGCCTGGAGGAAGAATGAGCAGCAACATCTCTGCTCAAAGTGAGTGCCCAACCAAAAGGCGGACGGGGTAAGCATTAATCATCTCAACGCTCGTGATGTTGCAGATTGATGGCCGTCGTCACGGTCCCAAAAACGTTTCAGACGCGGGCACGGCGTTGTCGTTTTAAACCCCCGATCGGCGCTTACACTGTATAGCTGAGGCTAAAACACTGGAACTAACGGGTCCTACTGGTCTGCTCGCGCGTTGCGCCGTCAATCCGAAAGTGCGCGGCAGCAAGTCAGAATGGATTTGTTCGGCAACGGTTGCCCCCACCCTCCCTGCTGCATTCCGTGGCGTGGCGGTGCACAGTTGAAACACCGTCACGGTCGCGCACAATGCGGTGGTCAAGGCTTCGCTGCCCAGTGCAGCAAAGTCGCGGCCGCTAGCAGAAAGCAGCTTGTTTGGCACAGTTTGGAAAACGGCGACGCTACCCTCCGCAGCGCCGCCGCCCTCGACAGTCGTGATGTATCGGTTGCTGGACTGCCCCGCGCGAGCCCCTCACAACGGCTCTCGGCCTGTAGGCTTGCAGCGTGGATAGTATGGCACAGGGTTGGAAGTTATAGCGCTGCCACAGCTTCTAAGACACCTCGCCTGCAGCACGCCAGGGAAAGGCGGACACGAACACCAACAGCTATCAAAACAAACAGCGCTGATTCTGACCTCCCCGCCGCCTCGCTCTCGTGGCGCCCGTTACCCCAGGGCCCCCGCCGCGCGCCATAAAAGGGTCGCGTTTGCACCGCGGTGGAATGACGGATCAGCTTGGCGCCACGCTCGCGTTCGGCTTTGGTGCCCTCTTCTGCGGGCAGCCAGAGCGAACGCTGGGCTGCCGCCAAATCGGCCAGCTTCCCCGCAGCTGTGCAGCCGCGAACCCTTCGTATGGCGCGCGTCAGGGGTCCCGTGGAACGGGCGCCACCGGGGCAAGGCGGCGTGGAGGTCAGAATCGGCGCTGTTGGCTTTGAGCTGTTCTGCGCTGTCTGGGCGTCCCTGGTGAACTCAGGGCGAGAGTGTTTTGAACTCCGGACTCCCCGCTTTCCCCATCCCCTCCCCTCTCCGGGTGGGGGCGGGTCAAGCCTGTATCCGCGGTACGTTTCTTGCTCATCCCCCCGCCCCACCCCTACCCCGAACCTCGCATCGCGACCGTGGCGCGCCTTGCGCACGCAGTGGCCCCCGGTGGCTACCCCGGCGGATGGCGACCGCTCCCTGTGCTGAC